TCTCAAAAATGTACAAACTAACACATCATATTGGACATCCATTTGAGATGGGTGTGGGAATAATTTCTGAGATGATCGTAATCGTCTTCCCTTGGTCCGGTTCTGGGTGCAGGAATCTTTTCATTCACGAAAATTTTCTTGTAGTGTACTTTTACAGATGAAGGGTTTCTGTATGTGTATTACACTCAAAAAAGGATTTCTAAAAACTAAGTATATTCACTATTGGGGTGTAAGCAACTGTTAATTTTTTTTTAAACTAATAGTTTCCTGTACCAGATTAAGTATTGATTATATATTTGTGAAATTGGTGTAGTGCTTCATTTCATAGAGTGTCTCAGTACATAGTTAACCTCTGTGTTACTAGAAGTGTTGCCTTGCTTGTGAAACTGTTAATACTGTCTTTATCCATCCACTGACACCCCTAGTCATTGTCCCAGCAGCAGGGAGACATAAGGAACTCTGGTGCCCCAACATGCACGGAACTTGTGTCACAAGACTCCAGGCTTTAGGAACAGAAAACTAGACTCTGAGGAAGGTACTTTTCTGGGTATAGACATTTGCCTACACAGAATTCTTTTAGTGTCACCAGGGACACCAGGAAAACCCTAAGCATTTATATTTTTTCCTCATTTGTTTATATTTGAGGAATACATTTTCTCCTTAAGACATGTTTTTCAATTATTCAGTTTTTTTATTTTTAATGAAAACACAAATCCCACTGGGAGATACTTCAGGTTATTCAAATTAAAATAATAATGTAGTTACCCAACTCAAGTTTGAATTTTTGGATGAGGGTAGATTGAAGGGATGTTAGCCCACACGGTCTTGAGGAGAAGCACTGTTAAAAAGGGAAAGCTAGGTTCCGGCTGAACAAAATGCAACTCAATGGATTTCTGAGTCTCAGAAGACAGAGAAGTCCATGAGGGAAAAATAACTTTGGATGGGAATAGAATTAGGTGACCAAGGATAATTCTACATACACCAAATTTGTACCAGAGAGATAATGATAGTGAAAGTTTGTTGTAACACAAATGCATCAGTTTCTCGATTTTAACTGGCGGAAACTTACTATCAGTGGGTTATGTATTTTGAGCTTTGCCTCAACAATATCACCATAGGAGTACATTTATTTTAGTTTTGGGAAGGTCACTGGGATGATCACATCAAGAATGGTGATGATATGCAAAAAGACATTGAAAATTGTCATTGACAATCATTTAGACAAAATTAAAAATGTAATGTTATATTAATTTTAGCTTGATGAGTTTCCTAGTTTTATAGAAAAAAGGTAGGAAAAAACAAGAAACAAATAAAAGAAATAATCAGAAAAATAACCCAAACAAATAAGAAGAAAACCTGTGTCCCTGTTAAATCCAAAGCAGATACAGATGAAACAGGAAATTATGTATAGTAACTTTTTAATTTTAGTTCATTTAACAGATGTTGTCACTTTACTGTCATTATCCAAATAACTAAGGATGCTGTGCAAATTTCTACACATCAACTTACTGTTTATACATCTTCTTGGTGAGAGTATTTGTTTAATTACTTTGTATAATTTTTATTAAGTAGTTTATTTTCTTATAATTGATGAGAGCTCCTCATATAGTTGGGGGACAAGATATATGGTTTTCAAATATTTTCTTCACTCTTTGGATTATATACGTAACAGTAAAAAACAAAAACAAAAACAAAAAAATCCTTCTGAACATAGTTTCTCTGATGTATTTACCTACACTGTTCCAGTTTTCTCTTGCTACATAAATAGTGCTCTAAAACTACATAACTTAAAATAATGACCCCTGACTCAGTAATTTTTCACTTCCTCACGTGGACTGAGGTAAAGTACTCAGTGGAAAGATGGGCTCGACTGTCAGGCGACTCAGGTCTGGCACAGGACGAGGGTAGGTAGACAGATGGACTCAGATTCTCCCCTTCTCCCTCCATGGAATCTCAGAACTCATCACATGATATGTGTTCCGATGGTTAGCTGGATTTCCTACATGGTAGCACATGGCTTTCAGACACTGTCTTCTTCAAAGCTAGATAGACTCAGAAGGGACTTAATAATGGTTCTGCCAATTTCTGTTGGTCAAAGCAGGTAAAGTATGGCAAATATTCAAGGGAGGAGAAATAGGCACTGTCTCTCTAAGGAAAAATGTGTAAATAGCGTACAGTTATCTTTAAGCTGCCCTGTCATTAGCCCATTGTAGAGCTCTGTAATTACTAATTTCAGATTGGCTTATTCCAGCTTTTAATATTCTAATTAAATTTATGAGCATGAGCACAATCCTTTTTAGTTTGGTTGTGCATATACTTACAAAGCCAGTGAAAGAAGCAATACTTGAACAGTGCACATATAGAAGGGAGAGTGACAGACATTTTAATCTTTTAGGTCATGGTGAAGGAGGATTTGCTCTGAGGTCTTGGGGAGTAGCCCAGTTTCACCAGATACCAAGATGGCAGACCGAAGTTTGAGGAGTGTGGAGAATTCCACTGCTAGCTGTTGGGAAGATTAGAAGACACAAAACGGTGTTTCTAATGTTTCTTGATTTTGTATAGAACTAACACGGATAACGGCAAACAAAATATTTTGAGGAAAAAAATGGAACTCTGATGATTTAGAAAAATCCTCATCCATGCAGTTTTTTAAATGAGTCATCTATGCACATATGAGCTATCTCCATAGAAAAATCCCCAAATTGAGTACATTCTATTCTTTGTACATCATTCTCCTTTTTAGTAGACAGAAATACTTAACAATAAATATTTATAAAGCACTACCTTTTCAAAGCTTGTACCAAGGAGGCCTGCAATGTAGTAAAGAGATTCTGAGATGAAAAAAATAAACATAATTAAGAAAAGATTGCATTATTTAGAGAATGAGAGGGAGTCACAAAGTAAATGAAATGTTTATGGATGGTGTATGGTGGAAGGATGGGAATGAGATGACGTTTGGTGATGAAATGTAACGTTGAAATGAATGTTATAGCATGATTATTTAAAGCAGCTAAAGAGTAGAAACAACCCAGAGTTCATCCCAGTGAATCAATAAAATGTGCTATATCCATAAAATGAAAGGTTATTGCACCATTTAATGGAACAAAATTCTGGTATATGCAACAACACAAAGGAAAGTTGATAACAGTTTACTGAATAGAAGCAGCCTGATTGGGAAAAATAAACAAACAAAAAACAAACAAACAAACAAACCCCAAAAAACAACCAAACAAAACCCTTCTATTGCATGATTCTGTTTATGTGCAATGGCTAGAATAGGAAACCACATAGAATCAGAATGTGGGTGAGTAGCTGTTAGGGCTGGGCTGGGGGAGATGGGGAGAGGGAAGGAGAATTTTTCAAAAACACAGTGAATGATCCAAAGGAGCTGGGAAGATTATGTCTGAGTGCCATTAGGTGTCTTCTTTGAGTTGAGAAGGAGATAGTCTCAGGGTCACAGTGAAACATACCATAAAAACAAACTGCAGTTTCCCCACTATAAATAAATTGGTGACAATAGTGAAGCATAAAAGCTCGGCCTTGGATAAGTTGTTCTGAATTCACAGGGGACTATCCAGAAGCAGAAATATAATTAATGAAGTGTTTACACAGCACCAAAGCCTGAGGGCAGCAGTGTCTTCAGAGATTTAAGTCCCACTCTACCTGCTACAATAAAGTTCCACCTGCCTGTTGCTGGCCTACCCAGACCTCCTCATCTCAGGTAGGATTCAAGGTCCTATTTTAAAGAATATAGGAGAAAAAAAAACTAATTTCTTGAGGAAGAAAATTGGTAAATGATGAATTTTTTGCCGGATTACTCATTAATACCTGCACATAATGGCTCAAAATATTTCCTTCTCAGAACAGGAACATCCACCATCTAACCTTTTACTTATTATTTTGTTGTTGGTTCACAGGAAAGCTTTCATTCCTTGTATCATTGGGTAAGTATGTCCGTGAATTAAGGTGTGTTTTGTTTTGTTTTATTGAAAAAATGAATGAGGGAACCACATTAAAAATACAAATGTGCAAATTCATATTTGAACCATATGCCGTATTTACTTAGGTCGAAGGAAAATTTCCATTGCTTGCGTTCTATCCTTACATACATCAAGAATAAATGGACGTGCAAACAGGGCACACAGATAAATGCAAATGTACATAAGAGGAAGAAATCTGTGAATTTTAACATCATTTATTGTCGCTCATCTCATTTCATTTTATAGTATAAAAGGCCAGTGACAATTAAAGTGAAGTAAATGTATGCTATAAATTCTATTGTTTTCAATTCCTTTTAGCTCTTTTTCTTCCACTGGTCAAGAGACTCGCCTCTGACAACGACCACTCCACAAAGAGGCAATGAATATGGTGGCAGAGCAATAATACATTTTGAGGAAACAAGTCAATAATACTAATTTCCTGCCTCAACAAATAATAAACACAGCATAAACTAAAACTAGCAATAAAATAAATTTTTATTATTGCTAGTCAGTGGTGTAGTCTCTGTTTCTGGAGCTAAGACACAGACTTTTAAACCAATTGTGTGTGTGTGTGTGTGTTGAAATATATAAAAATTGTTGTCTCTTTTTGTATTCCAGTAAGTATTTTCAAGCATGGACAATGTTTAGTCCTATACCTTATAGCCCAGTATCTCTAACATTAGTGTCTTTTCCATATTATTTTGAAGAGGTGAAGAGACGTAAATTCATTCAAATCTCCTCCCTGAGATAAAGAAAATAAGACATGACATCTAGACGTCCAGATTTAGATCAGAGTTTCTCAGCTGTCTGTCCCAGACACTTTCACTTAGTGTGGAATAGACAGTGATGCCTCTTTAAAGAGTGGGTACATGACTAGATAATTTTCTGAGCATGAAAAGACAATTTACACAAAGAAGTTGTGTTCTACTTTACAATATTGTGTGGATGTCCAGAAGTATTACACATACATCTTTCATTTTTGTATAGCTTTCTCAAAAGCTTGGACAAGAACCTTGAAGAATGGATAGAGGGAATTGCTCGTCCTTGACTGAATTCATCTTCTTGGGAATCACTCATAACACTGAGAACAAAGTGACCCTGTTCTCCATGCTTCTACTTGTTTATCTCATTAACCTTGGGGCCAATCTTGGAATGATCACCCTAATTAGACTGGATTCCAAGCTGCACACACCCATGTACTTTTTCCTCAGCCACCTCTCTTTCTGTGACCTCGGCTATTCCACAGCAGTTGGCCCCAAGATGCTGGTGGACATAATTGCCAAGAACAGATCAATCCCCTTCCTTGGATGTGCCCTGCAGTTCTTGGTCTTCTGTACCTGTGCAGATTGTGAGTGCCTCCTGCTGGCC